GAGCCCACATTGATTAGTGTAACTCTCAGATGATAACTGGAAATACTGGTCTTTGTTGGAGAGAGATTATAGAATAAGAAAAAATAAACACATTCAGATTATCATTAAATGTATAGCCTCTGTAAGCACTGCAGAAGAGCAGAAGATATAGTGGTACCAGTGGTGGTGATGGTAGTGATAGTGTGGTGGTGGTGGTGTTTGTGGTTATAGTGGTGGCGATGGTGATGGTGGCAGTAGGGGCTGACGGTGGGGATTGTGATGTGGGAATGGTGATAATGATGGTAGTAGTAGTGGTAGTGGTGGTGATGGTGATGATAGTGGTGGTAGTGGTGATGAGTGTGTTGGTGATAATCATAGTGGTGATGGTGACAAGGGTGGGAGTGATGATGGTATTTGTGGTGGTGATGGTGATGATACTATTTGTGGTAGTGATGGTGATGATGATGATGGTGGTGGTGGTTATGATGGTGGTAGTGACAGTGGAGTGGTGTGAGGAGTGTGATGGCGATAGTGGTTGTGATGATAGTGGTGATGATGGGATGGTGGTGGGGGTGGTAGTGGGGTGGTGGTGATGGTAGTGAAGGGTAATGATAATGGTAATGATGGTGGTGGGGGCACTATCATGGTACTGTTGGTGATGGTGAAAATTGTGATGATGGTGGCGTTGATAATGATGATGGTGACCGTGACCATGGTAGTTGTGCAGCAACAACAGACACTTATATACTAGCAAGTGCACATCACTGATTTATCACTTGCTGCATATTAGAGCACTTCACCCATATTAACTCATTCATACCTCACAGGAAAGCGATGAGGCAGATGCTGTTATTATCCCTTATTTACAGATGAAGAAACTGAAGCACTAAGAGTTTACTTAATTTTTGCCTAAAGTCACACAGGTAGCAGGACTGGAGCCTGTGTGCTAAGCCAGGCATTTGTCTCTGATTCTGGGCTTCTTAATGAGTTACCTACAGTGTCTCTAGGAATGGAGTAAAATCAGCTTTTCCATACTTTTTAAGAAGGAGCTCAAGTCTAGCAGAAAGCTTTCTCCAAGTATCCCAGTGGCTCTATATCCTGTCAGTTTTGATGTGGATTTCAATTAGTCAGTTGTCTAGCTTGGGGCATGGAAAAATATTCTTATTACTTGATGCAAAACTTCAATCTGGTGCCTCTGTTCTGAGGACTAATATTTTCTGTCTATTTTTTCTAGTTGATTGGCCGGCCTGTGATGGTACCTTACTGGTCTTTGGGTTTCCAGCTGTGTCGCTATGGATACCAGAACGACTCTGAGATCGCCAGCTTGTATGATGAGATGGTGGCCGCCCAGATCCCTTATGTACGTTCTCAGTCATGGCTCTGGAGTTTGGTAACTAAGCCAGGTGCCTCTGTGTCTGGGTTCATTTGTCTAATGTTTGTGGGATTCTATAAAGACATAATGTTCTTTTTCAGACAATATCACAGTTAGCCTCACCCCAGCACAGTTATATAGGTAAGGGTGCTTGTTTTCATCTTCTAGAGATGATAGCTCAAGATTCACCATGACTTGCCAGACGGGGAGATAGGCTGGCTCCAGGGCTTTTTCTGCTATCTCATGCTTCCTTCCATTTCTTTCACATGTCTTCAAAACATTTAGTCAAAACATCCTTGGTTCCATAAGAATAAATGATATCCCACAGTTCTTTTACTTAATTCTTGAAAAAAACTAACCCCAGCCAGACCATTGTATATGTGGATACGACCTCATTTCCTGCAGCCCTGGTGCTGTAGCACAGTGTCCTATCGACTCTGAGCTATCACTGATGGAATACACGGATCCTGATATGGGTTTCCAGAGGGCAAACATATATAAATAAACCTTATCTTTCACTGGAGAGTGGGAGGGGACCCAGTCATCAGAGAATTAATCGAGTGTACCTTCGCATATCTAATTTTATTCTACATTTCTATTGTTTTACAATAGTTCCATTAGTGGAACATAGTGTTTCCATTAGTGGATAGTGAAATGCAGTATTCATTCTCCATAAGAATGTTGTATCTGATTTCCCTCAGGGTTGGGTATTCCAAAGCACCTATACATTGTTGCTTTGTTTTGATATGTTTTGCAGTAGATTTATCATCCACATTGTATTAGCCCTGGGTAGTTAACAATATTTTTTCTAAACATGAACCACTGATACCAGGGGAAGCCTCTTGGGGGAGGTCATCACAATCACACCTGACAGTGGCAGTTTACAAAGCACTGTCCAATCCAGTGTACTTATTTATCCTCAGAATAGCCGTGTTAGAGAGGCATTCTCATCCTATTTTATGCTGACTTAAGATTTTTTCTATTTGATCACTGAACATTTTAAAAATTAAGTGAATTTCCCAGCACCTGTACCTAATAAATGGCAGAGCTGGGATTTGAAAGCATCAACGAGAAGCTTCTGGAATTCCACCATGTGTCGTGGAGGGTTGTTCTCCTGTAAAGCTTGAGCATGTACAGCAGCAGCCACTCAGCTCCCGATGTCCTCCCGCAGGACGTGCAGTACTCAGACATCGACTACATGGAGCGGCAGCTGGACTTCACCCTCAGCCCCAAGTTTGCTGGGTTTCCAGCTCTGATCAACCGCATGAAGGCTGATGGGATGCGGGTCATCCTCATTCTGGTTAGTCCTGATGTGAATGTGTGCGGTCTGTTTGGGAGCAGGTATGGGGTTTGGTGGAGAAAGAGTTATACTTTATTTCCATGTTGCAAGTAGATAAATTGAAGTGCAGTAAGAATTCTGTATTTCCCAGGACTCACAGATGGACTACAGTTCAGGTAGAAGCCAGCGAGTTCACCCTGGAGGAGTTCTCCTTTATTCTGTTTCTCTTCATTCCCTGGGTTTGGTTTTCCCAACTGACTTATGCTTTGATTTCAGGATCCAGCCATTTCTGGCAATGAGACACAG